ACATTGTACTTGTACCTCCCCTCTCCTTTTCCTGGTCATATTTTTCATGCTATCCTAACAAAAACGCGGCTGCACTGCACCTCACCTCACCTCACCCCATCCCGACTCACCCAACAACTGTGACACGATCTCAGAGGAGTGTGCAGCGCAGTCGTCGTAGCAGTGCAGTCGTCATAGCATATCATAGCTCCATAATACAGCACACTAGATAGGGCAAATACATGGCAAGGGAACAAAGGTGAGCAGGCCATGCTAGTCATCGAAGCGAGGGAGGGAAGGGTGGGCAAGTTGGAACAAAAAAATGCAATGAGACTAGGTGGCAGGTCTGAAAGACCTGCCTATAGATGGAGGAGTTTGTCTCCTTTACAGCAAACTCCTAGTCGAATCACAATCTGTACAATTTTTATTACATTTTTTTTTTCATATTGTGACACGACCTCAGAGTAGTGTGCAGTGCAGTCGTCATAGGTCAAACAAGACATCAAGTGGGAGGTCGTCGGCGGTGGCCTGGTACCGATCTGTCGCGCTCGAGCGAGTAGGATCTTGTAGCGTGCGAGAAGCGGCCACAAGCTTGCGGTCAAGCTGAGTAATGTAACACTCCTTGGCTGTATCACTTCGCCAGCAGCCGAGGGCCTTGAAAGCCAGTCGAGGACTCCAACATCAACGGCGACCATCGCAGCTACTTTGCGGAAAGAATGAGTGCCCAGGAGGGCCGGGTTGAGGCCGACACAGGAGAAAGCATCACGACACCAACCCCGAATGGCGGCGTACGAAGGAGGGCGATCTGAGGGGGAATCTCTGGCACCCGGCTGAAATATATGAATAAGGGGGCCAAGGGTCCACGGAGAATAGCCGGCCAGGAAGAGGAATTGTTGGACACGCGACACCGGACAGTGGCGGGCAGAAGAAGCAGCAACTGGGACCCAAACACTGGTGCCAGCTTGGTCGGTCTTCAAACGGGAGATGAACAACCACATGCAGTCCTGATCGAACTCGATCTGGTGCCACTGGAGGGAGATGAGATCAGAGAAACGAAGGAAGGCTACGAACATGAGGAGGGGAATAAGGCCCCGCTGGAAAGTGGCCGAATCATGTGATGAGAAGTAGATGTCACAGATATCGTAAATCTTGGCTGGAGGAATAGGCTCCTTAGCTTGAGACGGCTTGCCACAATGATGCATGGCATAATCCTTGACTTGCAAAGAAAAGGGGCCGCAAATCGGGGAGGGGTGGCCGACCAGCCAATGGGCGCAGGATATGGCGGAACACGCCCTGCACACAGCTAAGACGGTAGCACCGCAACGGACCAAGTGCAGCAGAAAGAGGGTCGCGGTCAGGTCGGTGGCGGGACGGAAGGGAAGTGAGTGCACCAAACAGAAGGCTAAAAACTGTCGCCAATAGGGTTCATAAGTGCGAAGGGTAGACTTTGCCCGAAGATCGACGGTGAGTATGAGAAGGTCCGACAATAATCGACCAATATATGAGCCTGCGCAGTGAAATAAAATGCTACATTAGTTGAATGCAAAACGAAGCGCATACATCGGATAGTTCAGAATACCAGCACCGCTAAAGGCATAACGGTCAATGCCAACGTGTAAACAACTAGCACCAAGTGTAAGGCAAAGGGCCATAACGACCTCCGGGCCCCAAGTGAAGCCGTCCAGACTTAGCAAAGGCCACTAAAAAGCATTGGGCCAATATGGGATCACGAGAGTGAGAGAAGTGCGCGAGCGACAGGCATGAGAGAGGACAGCCGGAATGAGGGCGGGTGGAGGAAAGGCGAAGCAATTCTCGAGTCTCCAGTTAATAGAAAAGGCGTCTTGCGCAACCGTAGAGTGTGAAAACTCGAGGGAGCAGAAACGAGCAAGCTGCGCATTGGCAGGGGATGCGAACAAGTCGATTGTATGAGGCCCCCAATGCCTCTCAAGCAGCAGAAACCAAGGTCGTGTCAAGGAGTAGTCGTCGTAGAGCTCAATCTTGGACAGAGCATCAGCTTCGGTATTCAGCTCACGGGGAATCCATTGGACCGTAAGACGGATCATAAGGCGCACGCACAATTGAATAATCATACGGCATACAAAGGTAAGCTCGGGACGGCGAGAGCCTCCCTTCTGGAGGATGTAGTAGGCCGCCTGACTCTCACTGCGGAGCAAGATGTGCGAACGCCGGATTTCGACTGAAAAGGCCGAAAGGGACCAAAACATTACGGCCAGCTCGCGAAGGCTACTGGACGAGCCCAAGGGGGCTAGAGGCGGCGGGGAGGAGAGCGAGCCGACACGACCATTCGGCGCCGAATATTAAGCCCCCCAGGCATGGTCGCTAGCATCCACGTACATGACAACGTCGTAAAATGCGGGTTGTGGAAGTGGGCACCGTTGAAAACGTCGAAATGTGTAAGCAAAAAGCGCAGCTCTTCAATAGACTCAGAGGTTAGGAGAATGGCCGCCCCCCATGAGTGGCATTCAACGATCTGCGCGAGAAGGTGGTGGGAGAAGGCGCGCATGACAGTGCCAATTGCCAAGGACATAGAGGCCAACATGCCGGTGATGCGGGCAGCGCGGCGAACAGGGATGCGACGACCGTTAGCGCCGAGCGTGCATAATTCATCCAGCTCGGCAAAAAGTCGGTTGCGCCGATCTGTATCGATAGAGAATGTGGTGGTGCGTGTGTCCAGCAAGAGGCCCAAGAACTTCAAAGATTGTGCCGGCGCGAGTTGTGATTTTTTTAAATTCACCACAAAGCTCGCGGCTGCGAGGTCGGCGATGATTGTGGAGCGGTTGTGAAGTGCCTCCGTTCGAGTGGCACTGATGAATAGGGTATCATCGGCGTATGGAATAAGGAGGATGCCACGGCTATGCCATCGTTTGGAGAGTTGCTTAATTAACTGGGTAAACACAAATGGAATTGTAGCCAGCCCGAAAGGCAAGGAGAGGATTTGGTAGTACGGCCCTTGCAAAGAGAATCCGAGAAACCGCCAAAAGGTGGGGTGAATGTCGACGTGGTGGTATCCGGATTTGAGATCGATCGTGAATAGCCAATCGCCTTCTTGCACCAAATTAGGAACGCGAGTAAGTCCTTCATATCGAAAACGAGGTACCGAGAGGAATGAGTTAACATGCCGCAAGTCCAATATCAACCTCTTTTTAGAGGGTTGGACAATCACGTATGGGCTAACACATGTAAGGGTTACGGGAAGAGGTACGACTCGAGCTGCGCCGGTGGCGAGAAGCTCGGCCACTGCAAGGCACCGGCATTATTCTTAGTACGAGACGGAGGGCGCTCAGAGGCAACCCATGGTAGGCGATAGCCAGATGTAATCACCGATAGAATCAAGCAGCTGTCGCACCAAGTGGACCACCATGCAGCGCGGTCACGGAAGCGACCTTGCATGCGGGTAATCGTTGTTGCGTCATCGGCATAGGCCGAAATGGTTCCAAGCTCTGGTGGGAGAAGGAACACATTTAGGGACAGTAGAGAATCAGGAAGGTGCTTCACCACATTTAGTTCCGAGCTCAACAGGTGAGTTCTTTCTTTCTTTCTTTCTTTTCTTTTTTTCTGAGAAGGAAGGCAAACGCTAATTATAGGTGCCCGCTCGCTCACTATTCTTCGGCCATGTCATCCCTTAAGTGATATACCATTGTGTTGGGCATGTCAACTTAGCATGCTGGGCTATAGTTGGTGGTCAAATATGGTGATGACATAGAAATCTTGTCATGAGTCTTATCAACGTCAATCTTTAAAGGACACACACACATTGTGTATGCGTCTTGTGGGCACGTTCATGTCTTCTTGCACGAGCCCAATGGGAAGACCATGTGGCCGTATGATGTGCGTGTTAATCTTGCTTGAATGCAAGCGTGGGGCCGCCGCCGCTGCGACGCATGCTGTTTCCGGTGGCAGGGTGGGATCGGTGCCATTGCCACGCTGGAGCGCCGCGAGAAGACCAAGAACGTGATGAATGGCCTCGTTGTTGGTGCCGGCGTTAACATTGTTGTCGGTGTAGTGAGCAGAATTATGTTCTGTAGAATGAGGCGCTGTGGATGTAGTGGAGCGCGCTGTAACGCGTTCGCCAGCAGCAGCTCCTGTGAAGATTCGGTGGAGATTGCGCTGGGCTGCAGGATCGAGGCGCGCAATCATTTCGGCGATTTCTGCTGCTCCAGGGGTTGAGATCTGCGGATTTCCGCGCGGATTCAATGCAGCAGGAGGAAAATCCGTGTGGCGATCTGCGCGATCCCGGTCCCGATCCTGGCGATCCTGGCGAATCTGGGGCGCTGGGGCATTGAGATCGCGCTCATGGTGACGCCCTGCGCGCGCAGGAGCACGATCATGATTGTGGTCCTCGCGCGCAGGACCGTCATGATTGCGTTCGGTAGGTGGGGGGCGTGACAAGGCTTTCTCGGCAGGCGGGTTCGTGTCGATACGGTTCTGCTCGTTACGCCGCCCGCTTTGAAATCCGTGGGGGAAATCGCGATTGCGTGACGTGTTACGATCCGCGTCCCCTGCCGCATTTTCGACGTGCTGAGCAGGGTCTTGACGCGCGCCACTCAGCAAATCCAAAGCGGTAACGGCGTCGTTACCTCCCCAGGACGAGGAGAACGAGATCGTTCTCTATGCTAAGAGGAAGAGTTTCGGTCCCCCTCACGTACAAGGGACCCACGCCTTCCACCACTCCGAGTATTCACGCGAGGAGCGGGAGGCCTACCACTTGCTGCAGAAATAAGTCCGCTGACCATTGTAGAATAACTTACAGAAAGAACGTCTTGCAGCAAGAGACTCCAATGCCCAGATCTGGGCATAAGAGAGGTTGAGAGTGTGCTGGTGGTATACAAGTTGGAACAAAAAAATGCAAATGAGACTAGGTGGCAGGTCTGGAAGACCTGCCGATAGATGAAGGAGTTTGTCTCCTTCACAGCAAACTCCTCTTCTAGTCAATCACAATCTGTAAATTTTTTATTACAATCTTTTTTCATATCTATGAACAGGTAGAACCTGAATACTAGGTACTTCGTAGAATATAAAGGTGCTGGTAAAATCCATTATCATCTTGTTGTTTTGGATACCTATTTCCTTTGCAAGGTGTAAAGTCTTCTGCTGACTTTTACTACTCTTCGGTTCCACCAACTCTAGATCCTGGCCAGCCTAAATACATGGTTAGACGCCCATCCTCCTCCTCAAACATTTCCATAAACCTCGAGGTGTCGCTGTCCATCCGTCGTCTGTAGAGTGGCCACGCTCCCGATTTCAGCCAGGAGACGACAAGGACAGTGAGGTAACTTAAGCACGTAACCAAACCAATCCCTAGGAAGATCGCATAGAGTGGATTCGGATGGTTGATACCTGTCCCCTCGAACTCATCTGTGGAGTGTTGGGAGAAGAGGGGAACGGGGGGGGGGGGGGGAGGGGGAGGGGGGAGGAGGGGAGACGGGGGGGGGGGAATAGGGGGTTGACGTGACTGCACACACATTTAGAGAAGGGACATCTATGGGCCAGCCCCCTCCATGACCTATCCCTTCACACTTGAGCAAACCAACGCATCACCCACCAAGTGCACAGAAAGCAACCACACGCTACCTCCATTTTGCATACCTCCAGAGGACCGCGATGTCCTCTCCGGGTTGCAGTGCAGGCAGATGAACGTCGCGTTCAGCTCGCTCTGCATCAGGTAATTGAGGCGGCCAGAGAAGGCCGGCTTGAAGTCCAGAGGGCACAGAAAGAAACGGTCGAACGCGTCGTCATCTGTCAACGTGTCGGCGTCGTAGAACCCACACACCTTACAGTGGGGTGCCGTGAGCTCCGTAAGCGGCTGCAAAACGCCAAGAGGCATACCGTAGATTGAAGAATGGGGATATAAAGTGGTCATAGACCTGCAAAACAAGGAACCGCATCACAGCCACGGACCTCAGAAGCCATCCCCACTGCGTGAAAAAAAAAGCTCAAACAAAGGCAAGACATGCCATGATCAGGACCTCAAGTGACTACACTGAACGAAACACTGACCAGTTCGCAAGTGGCTGGCAAGTGGTCGGCAGGCCGAAGAGTGTTCCACAGTTCCACTCCCCCACACCCATGTTCCAACCCACAATCAATCATTCCACCCCCCCCCTCCCCCCCCCCCACACACATCTTCCACCCCACCCCACCAGCCCAAGCAATCACGATCCAGCAGCTACATCTCACTCACCTGGAAGGGCTCATGCAGAGTGAAGTTGTAGTCCACGTTCACTTCAACTACCACGTCCAGCTGGCGCTTGGGCTCTCCCTCGCACTGGAAGTACACCGACGGCTTCCAGAACGGCAGGTCGTGCGTCTGAAAGATCTTGATGCGCTGCAGCCGAACCTCCGCCGCTGGAATGGGGACACAGGGATATCGCAAGAAGAGGCGAGAAAGGAACATTCAAGAGCTGGCGCTTGGGCTCTCCCTCGCACTGGAAGTACACTGGGGGCTTCCAGAACGGCAGGTCGTGCGTCTGAAAGATCTTGATGCATTGCAGCCGAACCTCCGCCGCTGGAGTGGGGACACAGGGATATCGCAAGAAAAGGCGAGAAAGGAACATTCAAGAGCTGGCGCTTGGGCTCTCCCTCGCATTGGAAGTACACTGGGGGCTTCCAGAACGGCAGGTCGTGCGTCTGAAAGATCTTGATGCGCTGCAGCCGAACCTCCGCGACTGGGGTGGACACACAGTGATTTGGAAGGAGCAGAAGGGGAAGGAACGTTTGGGAGTGAAATCGTAGTCCGCGTTTGCCTCGACGACTGGCAGCCTAACGACCGGGGCTGGTGTGGGTACACAGTGAACATGCACGGAAAAGAAGAGACGTTTAGAGTGACTAGCAACGAAAAACATTTCGGAAGGAAGATATTGATGCGCTGCAGTCGAACCACCATACAGGGATTCGGCAGGAAGAGACGGGGGCGGAGCATTATGGAGTTGTGCCTAGCGACGGAAAGCGTTACGAAAGGTCGGAGAATGTGCAACGTCGAGTAAATGAAAGGAGCATTTATGGTCTGAGACGGAATACAGAAGCTAAGCCTGTAAAGTTGTGGTGAGGGCTTCACAAGGTGTGGGATAGGGCTGACAAGCACGTACTTTTTACACCCAAGTATTAGATTAAATAGCACATATTAGAGTCCTCGTTTTTGTTACGATCACCCCAAGTTTAGTTCAGGTTGTAATGTCGCACGGAGAGCGAGTTTCGCGAACGTGGGTTCCTCAGGCAAGCGACTGTATGGCGTTAGTCACCACGCAGATAAAACAATCGTTGCCGTCCGAAACGAAACCGCCGACTTTAACGAATACTTGGTGTAGCTGAATTGGAACGCCGTATCAGAACGTGCTGCAGACAGGGAATGACCGCGCGCCGATTCAAAGCAAGATCGGCCAGAGATTCAAAGCCTAGAAACGGCACTGCAGCCTTAGTCGCTGGACGTTCATGTCTCACCTTCTGACAGAGAAGGAAGGAGGACGGCGAGCAGAAAGCACGCTAGAATGTTGCTGTGCGATAGAGCCCTCATATCTAGCCCTAATCCGTAGCGAAAGGCAAGAAAAACTATGACGTCGAGTCTGGCTGAAAGCCTAAACGCATGACTGGCATGGGTGTTCTCACAACTTAGTTCCAATACAAAAGCGACTGTGAATGACTAGAGCACAAACACAAGACACTGAGAGCGCAATCTGGGGGGTTGGGATGACAACCAACTTTGCCCATGCGACGCGGTTTCTGAGCCATCTCATGGCTCATTAGTTCATTATCCACACCCCTACTATTTGGACCTACCCCAGAGTTGGGATCCACACCGCTTTTGGCAACAACCATCCCAACTCCCATGCGAGATTTTCGCATGGGGGGGGACGACTTTTTGCGAACGGCACAGCGTCGCGCCAAATCAAAAGGCCTGCTCCAGGATCAAATGACATGCGATTGAAACACAGCAGCAGCCCCATCCATCAGCGACTGACGATGGCACAACTCTTGCGAAATTCCCGCACAGTTCATGTTTCCAGCCCAGAAAAACCGCCCCAAACCTGAGTTCGCCATGGAATTGAGGCGAGGGCTCCCTTTCCCTATCGACGGTTTCGAGTTCCAATGCGGAAACTTCTTTTGTCCCGCAGTGTGAGCCGTCGGATTCTCACGAAATTGTCTACGCAAATTTCGTACCCAATAGTCAGGATATCTTTGCAGCGTAACAAACCTAACTACTGCCCGTTGACTTGCAAGGACTAGTGAATGAACGAGGAATGTATGGATTGTAGAAACAGAGCTTATGTCTAGGCTCGGCGAGGTTACCCCGAAGCACGAGGTTCGAGAAAGCTTTCGGCACACACGAATCACTCCAAAGCACGAGGTTCGGGAACGAACGATGTGGGGGTCTAATTACAGCAAGTGAAGTTTCCTATTGTTTTGGAAGCAGATCTCTCGATACATAGCTTTGCATCTATAACATATGTTGGAGCTCTCAGAAACGAGGATAAACTGAAAAGCGTGCACACTCTTGGCTGTCAGGTGCTGCCAAACTGTTGCCTTCCGAGCCAAGGTCAGACCAAGCTCTGCAGACGAATCCAACCAGAACGCAACAGAGCACCTAGGTTTGGAAAGCAGTCAGAGTCCCGCTGACGTTCGGCCGAACCGGGTTGTCTGAACCTGCAACCAGCCAATTAGCCCAACAACCTTGGAGATTTCCAATCTAGGGATATGGCGGCAAAAAGTCCCAGTCTCCATCACTTCTAGGTTCCAGCCCAACAGGCTACTGCTTCGTTCTTATCAGTTTCTAGGTCGAAAGCTGCCCATTACGTGGCGTTTCGGTGATCCAAAACACGGATTTCAGCCTCTTATTGCTATCGGCGAAGAGTGAGCCCAAACTTGCGTACCCATTTCAATTTGTATCTCGTTGAAGGAGGCTTTTGAGTGGACTCAAAAGGTCATTTTCGTTTTGTGGCTCGTTGAAGGACCCAGACGGGCTAAAACAAGCGTTAGACCTGCTGTCGCGAGCAAATATCTAATCGACAAGCATATCAGCGGATACAGCCTCTACTATCCACGCCAGTTCAACGAACCTTGCGCCCCTGCAAACCGCATTCTCAACCAGTTCCGCTCGCTGTTCTAGGCAAAAGATCCCCGCTAAAGTCATCTTCGACATGGTATACACCTAACAAGCCCTTCAAGATGTGGACCACGTTTCGTAATCTGAAGAACAACATCTCGGCGATCGCGTCGGACGTGCTTGACACCGCAGAGGAGCTCGACCCGGGCCTCTTCAGCGGTAGCGGCGCCGGCTCCCCGTCTCATCCCTCCTCCTCCGACTCCTACTCCGAAGGCTCCTCTGCTGAATCTACCCCAGAGAAGCAGGGCAAAGCGGGACCCGAGGCGAGTCTGTATGCATTTCGCTTCTCACCCCTCTTTTTCCATGCATCCATGCTTATGTGCCAGGAACTATTTGTCTCTGCTTCTGCATTGCCTCGGCTGTCTCTCGGACAATCTACTTCACCGCGTTTTCGTCTGACTGGTAACCATCCCCCGCTGTGTAACAGGATCCTTCGCAGCTACAGTGGCCAACCGCAGCAGGAGGGTTTCGCGCCAAGCGGGGCCCTCTTCCCTTCCATCAGCAACCCGCCTCTCGCCTGCAAGAGACCCCAGACCCTACTCTACCGAGGGTTTCTCCCCCCACTTCCCAAGACCCTCCCTCTGACCCGAATTCAAGGGCCCGGGATGTCACTGCTGAGGGATCACAGCGCGCCAACCCGAGTAGTCACATTCAAAGTAGTCACACTCGAGATTCGGACCTGATTCCGCATGGAAGCCCTCTGCAGCATACTACTCGGCCACCGGCAGCAACTGCTGGAGACGCACCTGTGGGAGGAAGGGAGAGCCCCTTTGGCGCCCCTCTGTTTCATACAGGCGCTGCAGGGTCCGCGCCAGCTGCTGGAGTGAAACGGCAGCAGCAGGAACCACATCAGCAGCAGCACCACCACCACCACCATCACCATCAGCCGCAGCAGCAGCACGAATTGCATCAGTCGCAGCACCAGGCGCAGCAGCAGAAAGGCTCGACTGGTGGGTCCTTCTCACAGCCCCCACAACAGAGGCCTCCGCCTCCTGCTGCCCGTGGACCTCCACCATATGGGCCTTCCCCAAATGGGCCTCCCCCTCATGGGCCTCCCCCACATGGCCCTCCCCCATTCGGGTCTCCTCCAAAGGGCCCTCCACCAATTAGACCTCCCCGCAATGGACCTCCCCAAGTGGGACCTCCCCCAATGAGACCTCCCTCTTATGGACAAGCGCCTGCAGCCGCATTAGCAGCAGCACCAGCAGCCACATCATCATCGTCAGCAGCAGCAGCAGCCGCACCAGTAGCCGCATCAGCAGCAGTAGCATCCGCAGCTGAAGCTGCTGATGACGTGGCAGGGCAGAGAACCAAGGGGAGGGGTGGGGGTACCGGGGAGGGGACGAGGAGGAGTGGGGAGGAGCAGAGGAGGGGAGAGGGGGAAGGGCAGCACGCCGGAGAGAAAGAGGGAGAGGTGGTGAGGTTAAGGGAGGAGCAGCAGAGATTGGAGGGGGAACTGAGGGCTGTGCGGAGTGAGATGGAGCGGGAAAGGGCTGGTGCTAAACAGCTAGCTCAACGGATGGAAGGTGAAACGCCACCTTACCTCACCTCACCTCACCTCACCTCACCTCACCTCACCTCACCTCACCTCGCCTCACCTCGCCTCACCTCTCCTCACCTCACCTCACCTCACCTCACTTCGCATCGCCGGGGCTCACCATGGCTCACCGACCCTCATTGCTACCCACTGCACGCCACCACACCTTAAAACACCTCACCGCACTTCACCACAAGTCACCTCACTTCAAGTCGCTGCAGCTACCTTGCCCTCTTTCCCTTCCCCACCTCGACCCCTCCCACCCACCCCACCCTCCCCCCCCTCCCCCTCCCCCCCCCCCCCTGGCCCCTTGCTGGCTTCGCTGCAGGTGGTCGAGAGGGGTGGGAATCAGCCGTTCAGGAGTGCAGCATTCTCAAAGCCGAGAGGCAGCGGGTGAGTTGCAGCCAGCCGCGTGCAGAGTGGCAGTCTTGGAGAGGCAGCGGGTTGAGCCATAGAGATGGAGGGCAATTCCATGGCTGACTCACCCACCCTCACCCGCTGCCTTTTGAGTGACTTTTGAGTCGACTCAAAAGTCTTTACGTGAAGAATGCCTTTGATCACCGTCAGCATTTTCTCGTCAACACTCCGTTTCTATGCTCTTTACCCGTCCCCTGCGCCGTCCTTCTCGTCCTTTCTCACCCCTCCATTCTCCTTCCTCTCCGCTCTGCCCCTCTGTTCCCCCCTCGTTTCAAAGCTCGTCGCTGGCTTTACAGAGCCTGGGTTGCTTTTGAGTCCCCCTCCAAAGAAGCTTGCAGATCTTCAGCCCTGGGTTGCAGATCCTCAGCCCTGGGTTGCAGATCTTCAGCCCTGGGTTGCAGATCCTCGTCCCTGGGTTGCAGATCCTCGCCCCTGGGTTGCAGAGCAGCCTTGTTTTGGGGGCATGTCAAGTCCTCCCTCGCCCTCGCCCCCCCTTTCCTCGAACCTTCTCTTCAACGCCCTGGCACTCCGATTCCTGCTCCCCTCCGACCCCTGCTTTCTGCCTCCAGCTATTCAGCGATCTGGCGGAGGCGCACGAGAGAATAAAACAGGAAGCCGCAGCCAGACAGCAAGCAGAGGGAGCGCTGAGGAAGGTGGAGGCTCAATTGGCGCAGGCAGTAGCTGCTGCTGACGCCGCCCAGGCCACATGGCAGGTAATGATTGTGTTGGCATGCTCTGGTTTGCACAGAGTTTGAGTTGAAGCAGGTGCTCTGGGATTGTTTTGTTGGCAGCTGGTTGAGGGGGCAGCAGAGGGGGCTCTGAGGAAGGTGGAGGCTCAGCTGGCGCAGGCGGTAGCTGCTGCTGACGCCGCCCAGGACACATGGCAGGTTGGTACCGCTGATATCGGCATCTGTGATTCACATGAGGTAGAGACAAGAGAGTAGCCTGGTAGCGACTACTGGGAAATGTGGAGGCGCAACTGGCGCAGGTAGTAGCTGCTGCTGACACGTCTCAGGCCACGTGGCAGGTAATCATGACGCCAGCAGAAATGAGGCCTTATCTCTCACAAGCACAAGTTCTCACTCCCATCTTTTTTTCCCCCTCTTGTGGCTTATGAGTCGCCTCACACGTTCACCTTCTGTCTTTCTATTGTTTCTTAAGTTCATCACATACACTAACTACTGCTTTTCTTCTCTTACCTTCCTCCTGACTCCCCCCCTCTATTCTCTCCCTTCTCCCCACTCACCCCTCTCTCGTCTCACCCCTCCCCCCCCTCACCCCTCTCCCCCCGCACCCCTCTCTCCTCTCACCCTATCTGGCACTCCCCAGTCCGAACTTCAGCAGCTGTCCTGCCAGCTCGCTGAGGCTCGGGCTGCCGAGGCTGCGGCCCAGCTTCGGGCCGCCTCAGCTGCTGCTCCAGCAGCTGCGGCTGCTGCTCAGACAGAGGAGGTGTGTGTGGATGGGATGGGGTGGGATGGGATGGGATGGGATGGGATGGGATGGCTGTAAGGTGCGTGTGTGTGGGTGGGATGGGATGGCTGTAAGGTGCGTGTGTGTGGGTGGGATGGGATGGCTGTAAGGTGCGTGTGTGTGGGTGGGATGGGATGGCTGTAAGGTGCGTGTGTGTGGGTGGGATGGGATGGCTGTAAGTGCATGAGAGAGAGGGAGTGTGGTTGGGGTGTGATGGCTGTATGTGGATGAGAAGGAGTGTGTGTGGGTGAGGGGATACTGGTGGCCGTGGGAGTGGTTTTCTCAAGTCAACCGGAAAAAAAAAAAAAAAAAAAAAAAAAAATCTTCTTGGTGGTGGTTGTTCCGGTGGTCTTGATTGATGAAGAGCACAAACGGCACAGAAGGTTTCGTGGGTGATCAAAGCTGGTAATTGAAGAATAGAACATCCTTAATAGCTGGATTTCAAATTCAAATGGTCCCTCCTCCACTCCACCCTCGCCCCACCCCATTCACCCCCCGAACCCACCCACCCATCCACCCCCCCCTCCCCTTTTGAGTCGACACTTACGTGCTACGCCACCCCAGTCACCCCCCAAACCCACCCACTCATCCACCCCCCCCTCCCCTTTCTTACCTCCCTCGTTGGCCTCTTTCTTACCTACCCTTCTTTCCCAGCTATGCCAACTAAGGGCCAAGCTGATAGCAGCACAGGAGGCTCTCTCCTCCCAGCACGCCTCATTCCAGTCCTCCCTGCAGCAGCTAAGGGAGGAGTGCGACCGCCAGGTGAAAGCAGCAGAGGCCCAGGTGAAAGCAGTAGAGGCCCAGGTGAAAGCAGCAGAGGCGAAGAGAAGGGAAGCGGAGGAAGCGGCAGAGTCGAAAGCAACAGCTGCGATAGTTGCTATGGAAGAGGAAGCAGTGAGACGGATAGCAGCAGCAGAGGCTCAGGTGAAAGCAGCAGAGGTCCAGGTGAAAGCAGCAGAGGGCCAGGTGAAAGCAGCAGAGGCGAAAGCAACAGCTGCGGTAGTAGCAATGGAGGAGGAGGCAGTGAGGCGGATAGCAGCAGCAGTGAGGGCAGCAGAGAGGGAGGCAGAGGCGAAAAGAGCAGAGGCGGAGGAAGCAGCAGCGGTGCAGAGAGGGGAGCTGGAAGGCGTGCTGAATGCGATGAAGGGGGAGAGGGACAAGGCGAGGAGAGACCTGGCGAGGCTGAAGGAGCACCTGCTGGAGCTGGTGAGTTGTGGGGGATGGTAAGGGGGGGGGGGGGGTTCTGGAGATTGGATGAGTCAAGTTAGGGGCTGGGGCGGATTACAGGGTGGGTGAAGCTGTGCAGAGTGCCATGAGGGGGGGCAGGAGACAAAGGTGAGGAGAGACCTGGCAAGGCTGAAGCACCACCTGCTGGAGCTGGTGAGTTCTGAGGGGGGGAAGGGGAGGGTGGGGATCTGGGAGACCAGTATGAGTCAAGTTAGGGGCCTGGGCAAGTTACAAGATGGTTGAAGCTGTGCTGAGTGCCATGAGGGGTGGGGAGGGACAAGGCGAAGAGGGACCTGGCTAGGTTGAAGCAGCACCTGTTGGAGCTGGTGGGTGGGGGGGGGGGGGGGGAGAGAAGGAGGAGAGGGGTGCCATTTTGAGTTGACTCAGAAGGGTTTGTGCAGATGCCATTTTCAAGGCGAGGCTGAAGGAGCACTGCTGGAGCTGGTGGGGGATTCACCCGTCCTCAGGCTCTCAGTTGAGTCTTCAGGCTCTCAGTTGAGTCTTCAGGCTCTCAGTTGAGTCCTCAGGCTCTCAGTTGAGTCCTCAGGCTCTCAGTTGAGCCTGAGTTTCTGGACCTACTCTCAGACGGCTTGCTGCTCGTTGAATCCGCTTTGGTTTTTTTTATCGGTGAGGGATTCACCCGACTATAGGCTCTCATGTGATGTGACCATCTAGACCCTCATGTGACCATCTAGAACCTCATGTGACCATCTAGACCCTCATGTGACCATCTAGAACCTCATGTGACCATCTAGAACCTCATGTGACCATCAAGAACCTCATGTGACCATCTAGAACCTCATGTGACCATCTAGAACCTCATGTGACCATCTAGAACCTCATGTGTCCATCTAGAACCTCATGTGACCATCTAGAACCTCATGTGTCCATCTAGAACCTCATGTGACCATCTAGAACCTCATGTGTCCATCTAGAACCTCATGTGACCATCTAGAACCTCATGTGACCATCTAGAACCTCATGTGACCATCTAGAACCTCATGTGTCCATCTAGAACCTCATGTGACCATCTAGAACCTCATGTGACCATCTAGAACCTCATGTGACCATCTAGAACCTCATGTGACCATCTAGAACCTCATGTGTCCATCTAGAACCTCATGTGACCATCTAGAACCTCATGTGACCATCTAGAACCTCATGTGACCATCTAGAACCTCATGTGTCCATCTAGAACCTCATGTGACCATCTAGAACCTCATGTGACCATCTAGAACCTCATGTGTCCATCTAGAACCTCATGTGACCATCTAGAACCTCACGTGACCATCTAGAACCTCATGTGACCATCTAGAACCTCATGTGTCCATCTAGAACCTCATGTGACCATCTAGAACCTCATGTGACCATCTAGAACCTCATGTGACCATCTAGAACCTCATGTGTCCATCTAGAACCTCATGTGACCATCTAGAACCTCATGTGACCATCTAGAAACTCATGTGACCATCTAGAACCTCATGTGACCATCTAGAACCTCCTGCTTGTCATTCCCAACCCGTCATGCACTCATCCCAGACCTCACCTGACCATTCCAAACCTCCTCATTGCCATTCCAAACCTCCTCACTGCCACTCCAAACCTCCTCTTTGCCATTCCGAACCTCCCCATGGCCATTCCAAACCTCCTCATTGCCATTCCGAACCTCACTTAACCTCTTCCAAACCTCCAATGGACTCACCCTTCTCACAGGAAACTACCGAATTAGTGAAGGTGGAGCATGAGGCCGATCAGATCAAATCCCTCGAGGCCCAGCTACAGGACAAAAGCCGCGAGCTGGCATCCCTGCAATCCGCACTAGCAGATGCACGAGCCGCAGCAGAAGCTTCCAGGAAGGAGGCGGAGAGCAGGGCAAAGGAGGTAGAGGAGGAGGAGAGTAGGAGGGAGAAGGAGAGGGAGGAGGCAGAGAATGAGAGGCAGGTGCTGAGGGCAGAGATAGAGGCGAGGGACCTGGAGTTGAACAATCTACAGGCAGCCTTGGGGCAGTTCTATGCCGAAGCTGAGGCTCAGGTACGGTATCAAGCTGAGGTTCGGACTGGGGGGATGCCGGCACATGGGCTGGTGGAGTGGGCAGGCGAGCAGTGTGTGAGAGAGACAGGTGCGTAGAGAGTAGATCTAGAGGCTCGGAGCCTGGAGTTGAATAATCTGCAGGCGGCTCTGGGGCAGTTTTACACCGAAGCTGTGGCGCAGGTATGGTAAGTGGCCTGAGTTTTAGGCAAGTAGGCGCTGGTGCTGGTGCATGGGCTGGTGTTTCCGCACACATGCTGTGAGATGCTTGTTTATTAGCATGCTCAACGTATGTGTAAGCAAGCCCATCACACATGTTTATTGTCAAATCCCATGCGAATCAATTGTGTGTCTATTTCTCATTTGCTACTCTCTTCTTGCTGCTCTCATTTGTACAGAACCGTTTGGCAGCAGATCTAGCTGCAGCAAGGGATGACAACACCAAACTGGCAGAGCAACTGCGGGTAAGTGCTCGCCGCCCGCGCCTCTGTCTTCCTCCCAAAGCACTAGCTCTTCCTTCCCCCCCTCGCTTTGTCGCACCGCAATACTGCCGGCTGTGTACCAACTCCGCAGTTCTCCTCCCTTGCTTCGTCCCCTCTTCTTTCAACTCTCCCCCCTCCCTCCTCCGGTATACCAAAGGCATACCAGGTGACATAGCAGGTGACATAGCAGGTGACATAGCAGGTGACATAGCAGGTGACATAGCAGGTGACATACCAGGTGACATAGCAGGTGACATAGCAGGTGACATACCAGGTGACATAGCAGGTGACATACCAGGTGACATAGCAGGTGACAGAGCGACAGAAGCAGAGAGGGGCAGGGCAGCAGCAGTGGTGGGGCAGCAGCCTGGCAGGCAACGAACTGTCTAGAGTGCAACAGGCGCTGCCTAATCCCTCTCTCGCTTTCCCCATCTCCTCCCTTCTCCCCGTCTCACCAGCTCGCACAGGATCTAGCAAGCAGCAGGGAGGAGGAGGTGCAGAAAGCTGAGGCCAGAGCAGCGGAAGCAGTGCAGCAGCAGTGGTGGGGGAGCAATGGGCAGGGAACAAGCTGTTCGAGGTGCGACAACCTCTCACTACTCACTCACTCCCCCTTCTCCCCCCGCTTCCTCCCCCCTCCCCCTCGCTTCTCCCCCTTCTTCCAACTCGCGAGGGAGATGGCAAGCCGCAGGGAGGAGAAGGTACAGCAGGCAGAGGCCAGAGCAGCAGAGGCGGAGACGGGCAGGGCAGCAGCGGTGGTGGGGGAGCAGAGGGCGGGGAACGAGTTATCCAAGGCGCTAAAGGCGTTACTTATTCACCCCCTGTCTTTCCCCTCCCTCCGTCCTCCCCCTCTCTTTTCTCCCTTTCTCCAGCTCGCCAAGGAGCTAGCAAGCCAAAGGGAGGAGGAGGTACAGAAAGCAGAGAGCAGGGCAGCAGAGGCAGAGAAAGGGAGGGTAGCTGCGGTGGTGGGGGAGCAGAGGGCAGGGAACGAGCTGTCGAAGGTGCGACAGGCGCTGGAGCAGTGCATGGTGCGGCTCAACCGGATGTCCTCGGATTCTGACTTCACTGTGGACAGGTGAGAGGAAATGGAGTGAGGGAGCAATGCATGTTGAGGGCAGGGAACGAGCTGTCCAAGGTGCGACAGGCACGGGAGCAGTGCATGGTTCAGCTGAACCGAATGTCCTCGGATTCTGACTTTACAGTAGACAGGTGAGCATTATAAAGGGAATAGTGAAGAAGTGGTATTGTATGAGGGAAAGTATTTGGAGCAGTGCATGGTGTGACTCAACCAAATATGCTCTCATTTGTTCTTGTAGTAGCAGCATGTTGACGTATGCTGTCATATTATGTGTCAGAGAAGCCTTAACCATGTCTAATGGCTCGATTTAAATTAGCAGAATGCTTTCAGAAGGCGTGTTGCTAGGAGGAATATTTGTAAACTGGTATGTCCTCTTTTTGCGCATCTCCCTCCTTGCAACTTTACCTTGCTGTTGTCTGGCTCTCGGTTGTGAATCCCCTTCCCATCATAACCGCCTCCATGTTTTCTCTGCTTGTCTCTTCTGTCAATTTTTCCACGCTCCCTCCTCCTCCTCCTCCTCCTCCTCCTCCTCCTCCTCCTCCTCCTCCTCCTCCTCCTCCTCCTCCTCCTCCTCCTCCTCCTCCTCCTCCTCCTCCTCCTCCTCCTCCTCCTCCTCCTCCTCCTCCTCCACCCCCCTCCTCCTCCTCCTCCTCCATTGTCTTTCCTCCTCAGTCTGTTTTATCTTCCACCTCTTCCCCCCATCTTTCCTCTCGGCCCTGGCTCTGTCTCATCAATCTCTTCCCTCACTTAGTGCTCAACTCCTTTCCCCCCTTTCTCTTTCTCGCTTGGAACTGCCGATGTGAGCAGGAGAATCGTGATCAAGCTTCTCGTGACCTATTTCCAGCGAAAGCACAGCAAGGAGGTAAGAGGGGGTGCAGATTCAAAGTGGGCTCAGATTCCTTTGTCTTGTGAGTCTGGATGCATTTTGGGTGCATTTTGTGTGCATTTTGGGTGCATTTGGGTCGACTCAAAATACACCAGAATCGTGATCAAGCTTCTCATGACCTATTTCCAGCGAAAGCACAGCAAGGAGGTAAGAGAGGGTGCAGATTCAAAGTGGGCTCAGATTCCTTAGTCTTGTGAGTCTGGATGCATTTTGGGTGCATTTTGTGTGCATTTGGGTCGACTCAAAATACACCAGAATTGTGATCAAGCTTCTCGTGACCTATTTCCAGCGAAAGCACAGCAAGGAGGTAAGATGGTGCAGATTCAAGGTGGGCGCAGATTCCTTTGTCTGGTGAGTCTAGGTGCGTTTTGGGTCGACTCAAAATATGCCAGAATCGTGATCAAATTTCTTGTGACCTATTTCAAGCGAAAGCACGGCAAGGAGGTAAGTGGTCCGATCCCCACGTGTAAAGAACCAGGGATCAAACAGGCGTATCAGAAGTAGCTAGTTAACTGCCTACCTTTGCCTGACTGATTTTTTTTAGTGAAAAATTTAGACGTTTCCGTGCTGGGTAAGTAAGGAGGTTCCAGAAACCAACACATTAAAACTTTATGTGGTGAAAAGGCATGCCATAGCGTGCTTTTGGCAGCTGCTTAATTTGACCTCATGGCTCGTATTCTCAGCTTTCCAGAGGACAAGCAGCGGATGTGGCTGGCAGCAGCAGGCAGTAGCAGGCAGCATGGGGGCATCTGGAGGAGCGTTGGACATCTATCCATTTTGCACCTTTACCGTGTTTCCCTGTTGCCCCTCTCGGGTGCTTGACCTCATGGCTCACATGCTCTGGTTTTCAGAGGAGGATAAGCAGCAGTTGGGGTTGGCAGCGGTTGGGGCTGGCAGCAGCAAGCAGCATGGGGGCTTTCTGGAGGAGCCTTGAACCTTGATTTATCCCTTGTGCCTCCTCGTACTGCCCTGTTACCCTGTTACTCTGTTACCACTCTCAGGTGCTCGACCTCATAGCTCGTATCCTCGGCTTTACAGAGGAGGACAAGCAGCGGGTGCGGCTGGCGGGAGCAGGGCTTTTTTAAGTTCCTCTGGACTCGACTCCTGTTCTTTCAATCACCCTGTCTGCTTCTCTCAGGTTCTTGACCTCATGGCTCGAATCCTTGGATTTTCAGAGGAGGACAAGCAGCGGGTGGGGCTGGCGGCAGCAGGTCACATGGGGGTGGGAGGAGCAGGAGCAGGAGGGGTGAGGGGCGTGTTTGGGCTCCCAGGAAGGCTCGTTGGAGGGCTGTTTGGGGGCGGAGCGAGTGTGGGGGGAGTGGGGGGGAGCACTGGCGCTCTGGCGAGTATTGCAGATGACAGCACGGTGAGTGACTTGCTTCCCTGTTATCTTTAATTCTCAGACGGTTAGCATGAAGAGTCGGGGTTAAGGGAATGCAGAGAATTCCTCCCCCAGAGAAGTCGGGGTCGGGTTTCACTTTCTGCGATCCGGGCTTTCTTCCTCCCCCATCCTCCCTTCCCGCTGTATCTCCGCTTTCACCCCTCCTCGTCCAGCTCATCCCCCCTTCCTTCCCTCCCCGTGTTTCCCCCTCCATCTCCCTATCTGCAGTCAGGACTTTATTTGTCCCCTATCCCCCCCTTCGGACCCTTCCCCTTCCCCCCCCCTCCCCCCCTCCATCTCCCCATCTGCTGCCATTCATGGACCTCTGGATTGACTTTCTTCTCGAGGATTCAGAGTCCAGGGACCGCAAAGACTCACAACCAGGCCCTTCTTCCTCTCCCCTCCCTCGTCCATCCCTCTCCTCTGCTTCCCCCACATCCCATCCCTTGCAGACATTCACGGACCTCTGGATCGACTTCCTTCTCAAGGAGTCAGAGTCAAGGGATCGCAAAGACTTGCCGTCAGACCCCTCGTTTCAGTCACACACTGCAAGCCAGCAGCAGCAGCAGCAACTCTCTCATTTCAACCAGCACCAGCAAGACCAGCAGTATCACCAGCAGCAGCACCAGCCGCAGCAGCCGCAGGAGCGGCAATCCCAGCAGCGTTCCTCCTCCCACCCCTCCTCTCCCCGCTCCTCGTTCTACACCCCCTCTCCCTCTAGTCCCCCTCGCTCTTCCTTCTATACTCCCGCTCCCTCTAGCCCTCCTCGCCTGCCCGGCTACCCCTCGCTCTCTGGTGCTGCAGGCAGCCCGCCAAAATATTTCCAGCCCGTGTCGCCACGCGCCATGGGAGGCGGGCTGGGTGGCGGGGCAGGTGGATATATTTTGTCGCCAACCGGGGGCAGGTGGAGAAGCAGCACCAGCCCCCAGAGGGAGTCTTCCCAGGCTGTAGCCCAGTATGTGGCAGCCCCGGTTGTATCAGCACCAGCTGTAGCACCGGCTGTAGCACTGGGCTTTTCAGCAGTGGGGCCGCTGCAGCAGGCAGGGGAAGGGTTAAACTACAGCCTTGGGCGAATGTCGGACCACAACCCAGCTGGGCTTACAGGGGCAGCATCGGCAGCTGTAGCGGCATCACTCGTAGCAGGTGCAGCTGCTGTAGGAGCAGGGGGAGCAGGAGCTGGATCAGGAGCAGGAGCGGCAGCAGCAGGAGGAGGGGGGGGGGAGTTGTCATTTGTAGGAGCAGCAGCCCAGCCCCATAGGGACTCTCTGCACCACCTCCCATCTCCTTACCTGCCTGGGATACCTGGGCTTAGCAGTGGCATGAGCAGTATGCACGGAACAGGCGGCACAGGGGGCATTTCAGCTGCAGTTGCAGGTGCATCAGGTGGTTTTTCAGGTGGTCCTGCCGCGACAGCCGTAATTGGAGGAGGGGCAGCAGTATCGGGCATTCCAGGGGAGCTCTGGAGTGGGTCTGGAGGGGCAGGGGGAGGTGTAACTGGTGCAGGTGGGATCATGGGCACCGGACCAGGAACAGTAGGGCTGGCTCCAGGAATAGGGCTACTGCGCAGTGGGAGTGGTAGTGGCATGCCACAGGCTTACCCTCAGTCGAGCATACACAAGCAGGGGTCTGGGGGCGCCAGCAGTAGTAGTGGGCTTTTCAGTGCAAGTGCTGGAGGCATGGTGGGGGTGGCTGGTGATTTGGATATGGATGCTAGTGGTAATGCGTCAGAGTTTTCATCCGTGCCTTTAAATTTGGGCCCCAGGCAAAAGGCCACTGCAGCGCTGTCGTCGCTGTCGGCTCGTAGTGGGCAAGTGGTGGTGAGTGCGGCTCGTAACCTATTTGGGCAACAAGAGAATGAGTCCGCGTTGCAATTATAGTCTCCCTGTAGCGGGCTGGGTTGTCGAATGTTAACGTGATGATGTATAATCTGGTTTTGGATCGGATTTATGTCTGATAGGGCAACAATAGTTGTATCTTAAGATTGCGTAGTGTTGATTTAAAACTTATCAGTGACAATATTCAGTGTATGAAGGACGAATCGTATTGACGACGTTACAGCGACGCTACGAGGAACCTACTAGGAACGCTTTTGAGGATGCCCCGAGTATACTTTCGCTGACCTGTCCATCGGGTTTCACTTGCGATTGGGCGAAAGATTGAAAAGCCATCGAGAATCCGTGGTTCGCTCCCAGCCTCTCACAACGCACCACTTCGCACGCGCCAATTCAGGCTCGCTTGGCTCGCGAAAGATTTCGTCCGAAGGTGTGCTGTTTTCGTTCCGCCAATCAGGCAGCAAGCTGTTGGGTGAGGAGCGACCACGTCACTCACTCCCAACAGAGTCGAGTTACGGTACAGTGAAAGGTAGAAGCGGGCATGTCCACGTGGTGAGCCAGGGACTCGAGATAGATTTTCCGCTGAGCTGGACGAATCAGGAGAGATGTCCTAGGCCCATTGACTCAGCCAGAATCCTGGATGCCTGCTTCTGGCTTTGGGCTGCAGCATCCATCCATTCTCGCTGGGCTCTCTCCCTGTCGCCTGTATGGTGGTGGTCACACCAGTGACTGATGAATTTGAATGTCACACCAGCCAAGCCATCAGCACAATGCACCAGGACAGACCATTGAGATTGTTCCACTGAAGATTGGCATCATACACAGCACATTACAGGACAGTCCAGCACACAGTTATAGTAGTACTGTACTGTTTGAGTTTCCCTGCATTCTAGGGGAGCCTGGTCGAGCAGGAGCTTGCACAGCGCGGCACAGGAGGTTCCATTTTCAAGGGACTTCATTTCTAAGCGGCTCGCCTTTGGGGTCTGATCGCTTTGGGCATTGGGATTGCCGAGGGCAGTCGCCTTTGGCCGTCTCATGCCACATCAAGTTTCTTACTTGCTGCATAGCAGAATCGGACTAGTTTCACAGTCTCGGCTCGCTGATTTAGTCAGAAAATTAACGAGCCCTGCTGCTTAGGAGAACCTAAGCCAACACTCTCGTCTAGAATCTCGGGCATTACGTGGCTTGAGGTTCCTGATTTATAGAAAGTGACAGTTGCCGTCGAAGACGTCATTAGCTTTCGAGTCCTCAATGTCAACAGAGTTCATGGCTGCACGGACGGCGAAGGATGGCCGCGCTCTTCTCAAACCCGTCGTCGTCCGACAGAAGGCTCAACATCCAGAGACGGACGGTTCTGTCCTCGTAGCGAACCTCATAGAGGCTGCCAAGAAGATGCAGATTCGCAAGTTGAGACGAACGATCGTAGACATCAAGAATCAGAGCAGCAAGCCGGCAGATAGAGCTCCAGGCGTCATGTCACCAGCACTAGGCCTCGGAAATGGTGCGTTTTTGTGCGAATTTTGACCACGGACCAGCTTCCATTGTTACGTATGTTTCAAAGCAGTAGAGAATTTGGGATTGTACGGCCAATTACGCGTCTATTTCCCTTTGCAGTATCTGCTTTGGAGTCCAGACCAGTAAAGGCTCCGCCTGTGCAACCAAGCATCAACGGCACGGATGACAAAGGCCGAACGGCTCTCCATTTCTCCTGCGGAATGGTTTCAACAGAATGTGCCATCGTGCTGCTAGAGTCAGGTAAGGTTCACCCGCTTACGCTTACTGGCTGCAGTTACGACGACCAGTACACTCAAGAGTCTGAACGGCATTTTCTGTCTGTTACAGGCGCTGACGTCAACGTACGGGACAACGAGGGGTTCACTCCCCTTCACATGGCAGCCGGCTACGGTCGCAGCCAATCGGTGGAGCTCCTTCTCAAAGCAGGTCCGTCTCGCTCAGCGGTTTTTAACAATCCGCTTCTCTCAACGGTCAAATCGTCCTTCCACCCCATTACCCAAACAATTGCACATTCTATCGAACACACACGCAATGAGAAAGCTACGAAGCTTTGTAACTGACAAAGATAGACTTACTAATACAGCCGTGCTGTTGCACAGGTGCTAATCCTTTCGTCAAAGACAAGGTCGGACGCACCCCCCGGGAGCTGGCCGTAGAAATCAGAGACACGGGCATGCGGCACGACGGGTCCTCCGTTCCTCGAGGCGACATGGAGGCCACGATCACCCTCCTGGGCAGTGCGGAGTGGAAGGAGCACCAGGTGGCGAAAGAGAGACAGCACAATGCGATTGGCAGCTCAGTGGAGAGCGTTGCTGGGGTTTCTGCAGATGATGGTGCTAAGAGGCCGGCTGCCGTGTCTCCATTGGACGAGCTGCTGGCTGCTGCGCAGGCGGGAGATTCCGAAGGCGTGGCGAAAGCGCTGGCGAAACTAGAAGCGAAATCAGATGTTACATGGATCGCTGGTCGCGCTGCTTCTCTAGCGAACGCTCTCTCAGGTGCACTCAGTGGGAAAACTCTAGGCCCCTTATTCCTCAATCACCACTCCCATCTTTCCGGCTTGTTGCATATTCAACCACTAACCCGCCTCTCTGTTCTTCGTCCAGCGGCCTGCCGAAATGGCCACGTGGAAATTGCCGAGATGCTGCTCAAATATGGAGCGTCCGTTGACGCTGTGGACGTGGAGGGAGCGACGCCGCTGCTAGCTGCCGCTGACAGTGGCTTTGCCAAGTAAGTGTCGGACACGGACCTTGTACATTGCATTCGAAAGAAGAGGCCAGGGGCGTCCGTCCGTTGACGCTGTGAGCGGGGAAGGAGCGACCTCTCTGCTAGCCGCTGTTGACAGTGGCCTCGCCAAGTAAGTGCGGGGAACGAATAGAACTTGCCGCTTTCATAGGGCTGAAATACGCGAAGGAGGATCCTTACAAATAGGCAATGAAGAAAGAGCAGAAAGCACTTGAGAGGGCGTAGTTGACTGCTCCGTCACATCACAATGCTCCTCTCCTCCCCCATGATGCTGCTCTGCATGTGTGATGCAGCTGCGTGCAACTTTTGCTGAAAGCTGGCGCTCAACCTGACGCTCGCGACAAAGTGGGAGTGACGCCCCTTATCGCAGCTGTAAGTTGGACTTTCCTTATCACCTAGAAGTGGAGTTTGAGCATTCTTAGGCGCCAGTCTAGTAGAATAGACCAAGTTCCGCTCTGTCGCAATCGCATGTTTCAACTTGCATTGTGTTTTTGAGAATGTAAAAAAAAACACTCTTTTCTGTTGCAGTCACGTGTTTCACCTTCACCCACAGCGCATGTGCTTCTGCCGGGCTCCCCAGGCCTTTGTCATGCCTTTCTGACCCATGCACTACTCTCTCCCTCAAACGCATTTCGACCGCCGCACGCACACACGTTTCTCACGTGTCCGGTCCGCAGGCGTACAACGGGCATGATGAGGCCCTTTCAGCGCTCGTGCACCACGGAGCTGCTGTGGACGCTAGGTCGCATGGAGGCGTCACGCCGCTCATTGCTGCGGCTGAGGGTCGCCACGCACGCTGCATCCACCTGCTTATCGAGGTGAGTGGTCCAATCAGTTAGCTGCTTTGTAAATAACTCGAGTACATTCGTAGGATTTTAGAAACTCGAAATCACGCCAGGCCCCATGGTTGTGCCCTGTCTCACACTCGTGCGGTGTGTGGAGCGGGGATTGCCACGTGGGGCGCGAGAAGGCATGAATGAATGGATTTCGAAGCAGGCGGGAGTATTTCGAAACCCACCCCTCTCACCCCACCCTCACCTTCACTCCCCCCACCTCCTACCCCACCCTCGCCTTCACTCCCCTTCCTCCCACCCCACCCCCCCCTTCCGAAGCAGGCGGGAGCAGACGTGAATGCGCGCACCACGGAGGGGAAAACAGCGCTGATGCACGCAGTGGGGCGCAACTCAGTGGAGGCGACAGAGGCTCTGCTGGGGGGAGGAGCGGATGTCAACGCTGTGGATAGCGAGGGCTTTTCCGCGCTGCACCACGGGGCTCGCCTAGACGCTGCCGACTGCGTGTGAGTCCCTCTCCTGGTTATGTAGCTGGTATAATAAAGGGCTTGGAACGTGCAGCTGGGAGGTGGAGCGGAACGCTGTGGATGGCGAGGGCCTGTCCGCGCTGCACCACGAGGCTTGCCTCGATGCTGCAGACTGCGTGTGAGACTTGAGAACATGCTGCAGCGCGGAGGGGAGCAGAGCGGAGCAGATGTCAACGTGGTGGATGGCTGGGGCCTGTCTGCATGAGTTCAGTCTGCATGACTCCATTATGGTGCTCGCCTCTATTCTGCAAACTGCATGTCAGTCCATCTCTTGTTGTAGGTGTATTTTGAGACGTGTTAAGTGGTGCTCGAGAAGGGGCAATGAATCCAGATGTGCAAGATTGGCTGTTGCTATAAGTGTGTCTCTTCCAACCGATCTGTGTCTCGCCTGATACTTCTGCTCATCTCGTGCAGTCAGCTGCTGTGCGCCAAGGGCGCGAGCATGACCAAGAGGTGCAAGAAGGGCCGCACAGCGCTCATGGAGGCACCCAAGGCCTCTGCTTCTTCTGCAATTCTGGTACGCATAACAGCCTCGTTTCTCCCCGCATAGCCCCTCCTCTCCTCCCCTTCCTCCCCTCCCCTTCCCCCCCTCCTCCCTTTTTCCTCGCCTTGCCCCCTTTTCCCTCCGCTGCTTCTCTGAAGTCCTTTTCCACAGACTTGAAAAAGCTGGTTACAAAACAAGTGTCTTGTAACGAACCTAACCCATGCGCTGATCTGCCTGCGCATGGCTGCAGGAGGAGAAGTGGGCGGCTCTTGAAGAGGAAGTGGCAAGGCGGCAGGCAGAAATCCTCGAGCTCTTTGCTGATGACTCCACTGACAACGCCTCCAAGTCCCTCGCGCTGGCAGCAGCAGGCGCCAAGAGCCGGGACAAGAAAAAGGCCGCCAAAGGCAGGAGAACCCCCAAGGGGATCGCCTCCCTGACCACCAAGCTGCAGGGGCTGGCGGGAGGGGCTGGCTCTGCAGGCTCGGCAGGCTTTGTGGGGGATGAGAAGACCCTGGGGACTCCGGTGAAGACCCCAGAGTCGTCCAGCCGGCCCAGCATGTCGCCTGTGAGCTCGGTGATGGACTTCGGCCAGACTACTGATAGTTCCGGTATGAGTACGGCTGAGGACGAGGAGGGGGCGGATGGGGTGGAGGTGGAGGAGGAAGGGATTGAGTACGACACCCAGGATATCTTTGAGATCATGGCAGCTGCTAGCAGGAGGAGCTTGAGCGGTGGTGGTAGTGGCAGTGCTGGCGGCGGGGTTCTGGGTGGTGCTGGTAGTGCGGGTGGTGATGATGGGTTTATTCCGGTGGGGAGCGGTGAGAAGGCGCCAAATAGGGTGAGTGAGGTGACCGGGTGGCTGTCTGGGGGGAGCTATAGCCGGAAGGCTGGAGGGGAGACGTTAGATGCACCAGTGCCAGTAAGGAGAGAACCTGCAAGGGCCACGCACAAGAAGAGTCCTCCTGCTGCACAGAGCCTCACGCAGCAGCAGCCGCAGCAGCAGCAGCAGCAGCAGCCGAAGAACAAAACGTCTTTGGCCAAGTCAATCAATGCATCAGTAGCTGCTGTCCCCCAGTCCCAGCCACAGCAGGCACAGCAGAAACTGGCCCCAGCATCATCATCATCATCAGCAGCAGCAGCAGCAGCAGCAGCCCATGCAGGAGCGTCCCCTTGGATCCGCGCCCTGGTGGGAGGACAGGCGGCCCCAGCTCCCCGCAGCATCTCCCCCACCAATGCTGTCTCTGCCACCACCAACCCCAGTTCCAAGAGTGCTGCTACTCCCAGTGCGGTGCAGAGCGGTGGCAAAGGGTGCACGTGCAAGCAGAGCCAGCAGTGCGAGGAGGACAAGGGCAACCTGGCAAGGCGGGTGGAACATCTGGAGGCAGAGCTGAGAGCGGCTCGGGCGGCAGCGGATGAAGCCAGGGCGGCAGCTGCAGCTGAGAGGGCCAGAGCGGCGCAGCTTGAGCAGAGGCTGCTGAGCGAGCGCAAAGCCGCTGACCTAATAAGCGCTCAGTCCAAATCCCAGATCCAGGTTTTGCAGGTGAGAAGCTGGCCCTTTCCTTGTCCGCCCCTCTCTCTCTTTCAGTCATCGTCCTCCCCCTGTTGAAGTCGAAGCCTGTGGCTGTGGCGCTTAATTTGTGAGTTTGGTGCTGGTTAGCCTGGTGCAACACAGATAGGCTACAATTGAGTTCGCGTGGGTTTGTCGACGCACGAAACCGCAAACAAAACTTGTAGATTATATTTTCAGTTCCTTTTTTTTCTTCCTGCATTTTCCCCTTCTCGTGTGCTATGTGTTTCCTTTCTGCAGCCCTCGTGCTGAGATTGAAGACCACAGCAAGAGACGCTCGTGTCACTCTTGTGTCTTAGGCTCGTGTCACTTGAGGTGCCTCGAGGCTCGTGTCACTCTTGTGTTGGGCTCTTGCCTTAAGGGTCCCACTCGGCTTGCGCAGATAGATGCGAACAGAGGGGATGGCTAGATTGCAGGTCTTGTGGTTCCGTTGCTATGTATGGACATGATTTGAATCTTGTTATCATCACCACTTGCTTTCAATGTATTGGCATATTCACATTTCTTTGTCACTTCGTCTTGTGCTTTGGATTTTGTGTTTTTTGTTCCCCTCCCACTGCCTTCTGTTCCCCACTCCCCCACTTTCTCTCTCCCTCTCCTCCTCTCTCTGTCCTTTCTCCCTTGTCCCCCTCTCCCCCCCACTTCCTTTCTCCATCTCTCCCTGTCCCTCCTGCCCTCCCTCTCTCCCTCCCTCTCTCCCTCCCTCTCTCCCTCCCTCTCTCCCTCCCTCTCTCCCTCCCTCTCTCCCTCCCTCTCTCCCTCCCTCTCTCCCTCCCTCTCTCCCCCTCCCTCTCTCCCTCCCTCTCTCCCTCCCTCTCTCCCCCTCCCTCTCTCCCTCCCTCTCTCCCTCCCTCTCTCCCTCCCTCTCTCCCTCCCTCTCTCCCTCCCCCTGCCTCACTCCCTCTCTCCCTCCCGCTCCCTCCCTCTCTCCCTCCCTCTCCCTCCCTCTCCCTCCCTCTCTCCCTCCCTCTCCCTCCCCCTCCCTCCCTCTCTCCCTCTCCCTCCCGCCCTCTCTCCCTCCCCATCCCTCCCTCCTCTCTCTACCTCCCCTTCTCAACCACCCCCACCACCCCTCTCCTTCCCTCCACCCCTCCCCGGCCATGCCTTCTATCCCCAGCAATCCCTCTGCTCTCAGCCCGTCTCTCTTGCGGCAGCCACAGCATCAGCTGTGGCCTGCCCCCATGCCCTCTCTTCCCCCTCTGACTAGCACTCTGAGCTACCTCTCTCTCCCTCTCTCTTTCACTCTCAATTCCCTCCCTCAATCCCCCCTCCCCCGCCCTATCATTCCCAGCAATCCCTCTGCTCTCAGTCCATCTCGCTCGCAGCAGCCACAGCATCAGCAGAGGCCGCCCGCCGCGCCCTCGCCTCCTCTCACACCGAGCTACAGTCCAAGCTGCACTCGGAGTTGCAGCGCATCCGCTGCCAGGCTGTAGCAGCTGCCGTCACCGCCGCTACAGCCAGCTGGCAGGCCTGGGAGTGCTCCCAGCCCAGGCCGCTCCTGGGCTCTGCTGGGGGCTCGTCTCCTGAGGCAACAGCGGCAGCAGTAGCAGCAGCATCAGCAGGGGCAACAGAAGGGGCAAGAGTAGGAGTGGGAGGGGCAGGGAGAGCAGCAGCACCTGTTGGCCTATTGGGAACAGCAGCCGGGACAGCTGGTGAGATTACAAGCGTTGGTCTCCCAAACCAATCTTACCTACCAAGCCTACCGAACTGTCCAACTCCGACAAGCCAACCAACCCACTCTAAAACTGTATCTGCTGCCCAAACTCCAGCCGCTACCCGCATTCCTCCTTCCTCCTACAGCATTTTGGAAGTGTCCCTTCTGTGCCAGCAGCTAAGTGACACCACTGCTTCTACCTGTGATCTGCCAGCAGCAGCTCCTGCAGCAGCAGCAGCAGCAGCAGCAGCAGCAGAAGCAGCAGCAGCAACGCCACTCCTCTCCAACCACTCGCCACCAGCCCTCACCAGCACACCCTCCACCGTAACTCATGCCGTCAGCCAGAACGTTGCCAGGGGCGTTGACCTGGCTCCTCATGATCCCGCGCTTTCGTTCAAAGCATCCCTGCTTGCTGGAAAGATGAGCGGTGCAAAGTTCGGCGCTGCCAAGTCTGGTGTTTCTGGTGTGGCTTCTGATCCTGCCCTTGCAACCAGCTCAACTTTGCTCCCTGGGAAGGTTGCCTTGGCTGATCCTACCCATGATGCAGCACTGTCCCTCAAAGCCTCCTTTCTCACTGAGAAGCTTTTCGGCAAGTCCACGCTGGACCGTTCCAACAGTCTGGAGGTTCAGCAAAGGATGAAAATGGGCCCATTTGATGACTCGGCTCGCGTATTCTCCTCCTCCCCCCACCACCACCACGACACATCAGCAAGCATCATGCGGAAAATAGGCTCGGTGCCGAACCTGCTGTCTCTGGAGCACTCCGCGCCTCTGCACTCCCCTGCACCGCTCCGAACCTCTGGCCTTTCAGGGTTTCGCAGGGTCGAATCCTACCCAGACTTCCAGCCCTGGCATAACATGGGCTACAATAAGCCCCACTACAATCAGACCCACTCCAATCAACCCAGCTACAACCATCCCAACCACAACCAACCCATTGCCAACCACCTCATACCAGCGGATCCTTCAGACCCACCTGTAAGACTCACCCCTCACAGTCCCTTCAAACCAGACCATCTCGTGGGGAATTTCCACCGCCGGGTGGACTCCTACCCAGATTTATCCCGTGCCGGGCAGTCTAATACACCGGGTCAAATGTCCCCTTCACCAGCCATCCCACGCAGGTCCCACCAGCCGCTTGACAGAGTAATTCAGTCTCCTAAGCGGAGGCAGTCCTCCCTCATGCATCGCTCTTCCAGTGAAAACTGCCTGTCTAGTCTAGCAGGAGCAGGATCAGGCTCATCAGCCCAAGGAGGGGGGAAACTGCAGTGGAAGGTGAGGGGAGGGGTTGGAACAGACGCCATTCCTGAGAGGAGCAGCATGTTCACTCTTGAAGCTCTGCCGTTTGCTCCTAAAGGGACGTGTGAGGAGCAGAAAAAGGCAGCTGGATGGTTCAGCTTGGTTCCCAGCCCTGATGAGTGAGAAGAATGTAGGTTTGCTATTTGGATTCCCCCATCCCACCCCTGACGAGGATTGAGGAGAATCTAGGTTTGCCATTTGGATTTCCCCCATCCCAGCCCTGATGAGAAGTGAGGAGCAGGGCTCTGGCTAAGGTGTTTGGAAGCCATTCTAGTCCGGATTGTCCCCTGCCCCCCTGCTGTTTGACATTAGGGTAACTATCATTGTCAACAAACATATATTGCTATATATCTCAGATTTAGAATAGTTGGCTAGAATGGGAGCATAAAGGGGTATATAGCTAATGGGCTGTACTCTCTATTGCATGACCCTATGTAGTCTACTAAACATACACACATATGTTTGACATACCCCCTAGACTAGATAGGAGCGGTGCCTGGTGAGAGACAAGTAGCTCAGGGCGGCACGGTCGTGGCACTGAGATAACCCTGTCAATCCTCTCTCTCTCTCTAGGGAGGATACTGGGGAGGTTTTCCTCGGGAAAGGTGGATATGTGGAGCCTAACCCTCCTGATGATATCCCTTCTTGTCCTAGTGTTTAGTACTGGTTACTTCATTACTGGCACTACAAGTCCAACCTCTAAGGTAGGGGACTAAAGACCTGTCAAAAGAGTACAAACAAGGCAAGATCAAGACCAGGGCGGCACTACTAGTCCAGCCACTGGGAGAGAGCTACAAGGTCAGTCAGGATAATATATAAAAAGTCATACAAGGTCCTAGCAAATGAGGTGCTACAGGCATGAGACCGAGCTGTACGCAGTACTTGGGCCCGCGGCCCTCTCACCTAGCGCCTAGCCACCCGGCCCCGCGCCTCGGTACAGACAGCGTACCTCTCATTACCATGGAACGTAGTGGTGACGCCGAGGTCCTGAAGGCAACCCACACCAACTAGGTTCCGTGAGAATGAGGGGATGTGCAGGCCTGTAAGAGAGCTCGAAGGAACTGCCAGACAGGGGAGGGTGGTGGAACTACGGGCGACTACCGGTCCTGAGGAAGGGTCTGAAAGGGCAACTGCGGCAGGGACGGCAAGCGGCGTCAGCGTAGTGTGGTCCCGAAAGAAACACCGAGACGCGCCAGAGTCGAGAGTGAAAGAGAACGCGGCAGTGGCGGCTGGGGGCGGAGGAGCTAGAGTGGAGCCAAGGCTAAACAAAGCAAGTGGTCATATGCCTGGCGCAGCAAGGGAGCCTAAATTAGGCACACTGGGCACACCTACACTAGGCAACAAGGGGTAATAGGAACCAGTCACACTAGAGTCATCGACATACAACGCATACAATGCATAGCTAATCTCATCCATGTCCATATCAAAGATCCTAACACCACGGCGGAGCATGCTGTGTTAGTCGAGGAGGTCCGGCGCGGGGCCGAAGCAGAGACGAAAAAGGTCTTCCAGGCGACTGAAACAACGAGTGGGGGGATGACCGATCTTACCGCACACGAGGCCGCGGCGAGGACCGGTCTGGAGCTAGTACTGGCAGCGCCCGTCACTCACACCACCACCCGACGACGAGCTACGGCACGACCACCGCGACCACCACCACCACCGGCGCCAGGCCACCCAGGCGGGAGGCGGCCGACCCTTCGCTGCGACTGCTGCTGCTGCTGCTGCTGCTGGTCAAGCTGTGGCGCCTGCTGCTGCTCCCGCTGGGGCTACTGCTCCAAGGCACCAGCCCCAGCCCCCTCGTCGGTACTACCATCAGCGGAAGAACCACCTCCACCACCACCTCCACCCCCTCCTCCACTACCACCGCCGCGCCCAGCCTTGGGGCGGCGGGCCTTACCATAACGAGTCTGCGCTGCGGCCACCGCGGAAGCGGTCTCAGCAGCAGGGGCTGTCTCAGCGACAGCCGCAGAACCGTAAGAGTAAGTGCACTGAGCGGGAGCACAATCCTGAAAGTTAGGGACTGGCGCAGTACCGCTAGACTGAGCGATAGAGCGCTGACGGGTCTCTATGGCAGACAGGGTGTCGACAAAGTCCGGGAGGGTGAGGTCAGCGGGGTGCAGACTCAGAAAGTGGTTGTGGGCAGTAGCCAGGCGGTCAGGGAGGCGGGTGGAAAGCAGGTAAAGGGTAGAGCAGATAGGGGGTTGAAACACACTAAGCTGGGCCTCAGTGCAGGCAGTGTGCCAGCTCGCGTCGAGCGTGCGCAGGTGCGTGGCCAGGTCAGCGACGGTGGAGAAAGACGCGAGATAAGGGAAGAGCATGGGAAGGATCAGGTGGCCGGCAGAGGCAGAGGTCGGGGTGGAATAACGCTCGATAACGACCTCTAGGAACTCTTGCGCAGTCCTGACCGACTTAAAGTGGGGGCGCTCAGACAGGGCGAGGGCATGGCTAATCACGAGCTGAGCGACAGCATTACGCGACAGCCAGACAGCACGGGCAAGTGCAGCTGTGGCGGACTCACGGTCAGCAGATGTGGGGTTAGCGGGGAGAGCAGCAGGGGGGTCAGGGCAGGGGAGCGTACCGTCAATATTGACGGCGGGGGAGTGGCCGTCCTGCCGCTGACCAGTGAGGTGACGGCGGAGGTCGACGAGCCACGCGTCGAACTCAACCGGCCGACCCTCCGCGTCAAAGCGCAGCACCGAGTCTGTCATTATGGCCGCTGCAGCCGGGAACAGGCGGTGAAGGGCGGGACGGAGCGACGAGGAGCAATGGAGAGCAGTGCTGTATGGTGCAGTGCGGTGGAATGCGGTGCAGTGCAACGCCGTGCAGTGCAGTGCGGTGGGGCACGGTGCAGTGCGGTGCCGCGTGGTGCGGAGCGGTGCAGTGCGGTGGGGCACGGTGCAGTGCGGTGGGGCACGGTGCAGTGCGGTGGGGCACGGTGCAATGCGGTGCCGCGTGGTGCTGATGCGGTGCAGCACGGTGGGGCGCAGTGCAGGACGGTGGAGAGGGTCAGTTTGGCGAGCGGGGACCGGGAAACACGGCCAAGGGTGGGGGAGGGGGCGGTTGAGCAGCTAGGCGACGGGGCCACGGGGAGGCTAGGCGACGCGGCCCCGGGGCGGCTGGGCAACGGGGCCGCGGAGCAGCGGGGCGACGAGGCTGCGGGGCGACGAGGCTGCGGGGCGGTTAGGCGATGGGGCAGCTAGGCGACGGGGCAGCTAGGCGACGGGGCAGCTAGGCCCTGCGGCCCCATCACCTAGCGCCTAGCCGCCCCGCTGGCTCCGCGGCACCGTCACCTAGCGCCTAGTCGCCCGTGGCCCCGCGGCCCCGTCACCTAGCGCCTAGCCGCCCCGCTGGCCCCGCGGCCCCGTCACCTAGCACTTAGCCGCCCCGCTGGCCCCGCGGCCCCGTCACCTAGCGCCTAGCCGCCCGTGGACCCGCGGCCCCGTCATCTAGCGCCTCGCCGCCTATGGCTCTGTCGTCTCGTCACCTGGCGCCTAACGGCCCCGTGGCCCCATCACCTAGCGCCCATTTTCTTTCTTTCTTTCTTTCTTTTCTTCTTCTTCTTCCTCTTCTTCTTCTTCTTCTTCTTCTTCTTCTTCTTCTTCTTCTTCTTCTTCTTCTTCTTCTTCTTCTTCTTCTTCTTCTTCTTCTTCTTCTTCTTCTTCTTCTTCTTCTTCTTCTTCTTCTTCTTCTTCTTCTTCTTCTTCTTCTTCTTCTTCTTCTTCTTCTTCTTCTTCTTCTTCTTCTTCTTCTTCTTCTTCTTCTTCTTCTTCTTCTTCTTCTTTCTTTCTTTCTTTCTTTTCTTTCCGACTAGCCCGCCAGCGCCCTCTGCACCAGCCTGCTATCTTGCCCTTAGCCTGCCGATTTGCGCCTGCTGTCCGCCGCCAGCCCTGGCTCACCCTTCATGTGTCTCGCCAGCCAGCTAGCCGCCAACGCGCCACTGGCTTGCTAGCCAGAAACTGCCAGCCAGCCGCCAGCAGTCACCAGCCAGCTCACCGCCCGCTCGCCAGCTAGCTTGATCGCCAGCCAGGACGCTAGCGCTCTGGCCAGCTAGTCAGCACACCAGCCAGCTCGCCGCTGGCTTGCCCAGTAGCGGTTGCCAGCAGCCGCCAACCAGCTCGCTGCTGGCCCGCCAGCCAGCGGACACCAGCAGTCGCCAGCCAGCTCGCCGCTGGCTCACCAGCCAGCAGCCGCCAGCCAGCTCGCCGCTGGCCCGCTAGCAAGCAGCCGCTCGACGCTGGCTCGCCAGCCAGCAGCCGCCAGCCAGCTCGTCGCTGGCTCGCCAGCCAGCAGCCACCAGCAGCCACCAGCCAGCTCGCCGCTGGCTTGCCAGCCAGCAGCTTCCAGCAGCCGCCAGCAGCCGCCAGCCAGCTCGCCGCTGGCTCACCACCCAGCAGCCGCTGCCGCTGGCTCGCCAGACAGCAGCCGCTGCCGCTGCTCCTCCCACTGCCGCTGCTGCCACTGCAGCCGCCAGCAGCCGCTGCCGCTCCTGCCGCTCCTCCTGCTGCTTCCACTGCCACTGCAGCTGCTGCTACTGCCGCTCCTATAGCTGCAGCCGCCACTGCCGCCGCTCCTGCCACTGCCGCTGCTCCTCCCGCTGCCGCCGCTGCCACCGCAGCCCTGCTGCCGCCGCTGCCACTACAGCCGCCGCTGCCGCCACTCCTGCCGCTACCGCCGCTGCCACTGCAGCCACTGCTGCCGCCGCTAGCCAGCAGCCGCTCCGTTGCCACTGCTAGCGAGCTTGCAGCACCACCGCTGCTGGCCCGCCGATGCTGCCGCCCGCTGCTTTTGCAGTCTCTGCTGCAGCCACTACCGCCCCGCTGCCGCCGCTACCGCAACCGCAGCCGCCACCCCTGCAGCAGCCGCTGCAGCCACTATCACCGGCTCCCACTGCAGCATCTGCCAATGCTGCCCTTGTAGCAGCTGCCGCTGCTGTCTCCGTTTCTGCCACCACCGTCCTCACGGCCGCAACTGCCACTACAGCCACCAGCATGTCGCCGCCCGGCGTCTTCGTTCTGCACCTGGATGGGGAGGGGCGGGCGGTCAGTTTCGCCGCTTGTCAGGAGACAGTCCTCCTGTAGATGACGAGCTAGCGCGTCGACAATGAGTCCCTGGACGCCCATGTCACTGGTGAGCTCCCTGCTGTCCCCTGCCTGAGCACTCTTACTACTAACGCGACGTCCAAGCAGCAGGCTGCGCATGCTACTTCTCCTACCGCCTATTCCATCTGGGTGTCTCGCGACGCCACTGCTCGTATCGCCATCCTCAGGTGCCTGCCGGTTGACGAGCACTCCCACTTTGTGGGTGCTGCGTCAGCCCGTGCCCTCTGGATGGCTATTCAAACTAGGTACTCTACTTCGTCGTCATACTATGGAGTGTGCATATGATTTTTTCACCTGGAAATCAAATGTGCATGTTTCACCACCTTGTTATAAGCCATGATATCTAGTTTTGGGTGCATGCTTGCGTACTTGACATTGTGGCCCCTCTGCCTGCCACTCTGATACTGAAACGCACTGAGTCAGGGAGGAATGCTGGGAGAATAGTCAATCAGCATAAGCCGCAAGCGCAAGCGTCAACAGTGCTGCCTCCAAGCCATGATGTGCAAGGATAATGAAGGTTGACTCGTGCAGCCGATGGACGTCTGTCAGCAAGTGCTTCATGTCTGGCGTGTGTGACGACTCTGGCACTTGGTTTGAGCGCTACGACATTGACTTACATGCGGTGAACATGGCTCCTGATAGCATATGAAATTGGTCTGATTGTCTGAAAATCAGACTTGATAGGTTCATATGATTTTCAAGACCACCTTTTTAGTTGCGTCTGAACGTTAAGACAAGCGCTTCTATTTCGCCTAGAAAACTAGACTAGGCTTTAGACAGCGAGTGCATTTTTTGTCAGAAACGTACAATTATGCCCACTAGGCTAGTTGGCAGCTTGGCTGCTAGATTCAGTCCTTCGCAGTGCCACGCATAATTATGACCCCACGTGAAGTCGCATCCATGCTGTCGAAATCCTCAGGCCCCAAGCTGTCCTCTGAATAAGAAGTTGCCACGCCATTGTCTCTTTGCGGGGTGTTGGCACTCCAACCAGGCACTGCGCAGGACTCTGCCCAACAGTATTACGTCAGGGTGTTGTCCCTTAGCGTTTTGTCGGCGCCCGTGACAGCAATGGGCAAAATGTTGTTGGCAGCATTGAACAAATTTCATCCTCGGTAGGCAATGGTGCAAGGACATGACTGATGCGCTGCGGCCTACGTCCCATGCCATGCCTCGAGGCGCACGAAGCATACAGAGGAGGGAGATGAAAGTTCGCCTAGTTTGCATCTCCGTCTCATCATTTCGCCTCTCAAGCGTTCTTGCACTGCACTAGAAGCAACAGCCCTATGACTAGCTGCACGACTCTAAGCTTCTGATTTTTGCTCTTCTGCGATTGTGACGGCCTTGCGCAATCGTGAGACAGGCCCGATGATGACAGACGCTGCTGGGGCCAGTGCCCCAGCAGCCGTAGCTAGTGTTTCATGACAACCCTCGCTTGCTAATTTGAAGATCTCGGTGCTGGATCTTCTAGGCCGCAGAAATTGCAGCTAGTTTGCTGCTTCCCCTGCGCTCTCTGGGGTTCCTTCCAACATGGAGCCCTGTAGTTTGTCGTCATTAGTCATTCCGCCGACCGTGATGGCTCCTAGATCGGCTACGGCTGCGGTGCCTCCCGTTGTAGCACCTCCTAGTCCATTGCCCACATCGCCGCCATCTACCATGACATCTCCTAGTCCCTCGACCGCGGCTGCACCGCCTACCGTGATGCCTGCGTTGCCCTATGCAATTGCATCTCAGCATGTCGTGGCTCTTTTGAGTCCATCCTCTGAGGCTGCACTGAGCCCCGCGCGCTTCGACAGCTTGCTGCCAGAACTAGACATTGAAGAGTGGGTCCACAACCTGCTGCATCATATCGGGGGCACGTTGACTGCTTCTGCACCACCCCCCCTCTTCTCTATTGGCCCTATCTTACCCACCAGGCACCTTGGGAAGACAAAGTACAAGTGGCGTAGGCTGATATTTGGGAGGTCGCGATTACTCACCTCTACACCAACTAACCAACCTGCCGCGCTCACGTCACTGGTCTGTCGGCGCCTCCTTCGCCGGACGACACTGTGCATGACGGGCCCTGGCCACTGACTATGGAGGAGCTGCAGATGAAATGCAGGGAACAGTGAAAACATCAATTCCCCTAGCTGTTCATCTCGAAGGCGGAGGAAGGTCGACCGTGCATGAAGTGCAGTATCTACATCGCGTACGCAAGCCAACGTACCAGTATGGGTGCTACGGGGAGGGCGGCACTGACATTCAGAAGCAGACTACACGGAAGCACAACCATAGCATCAAGCACGAGGCAGCGATGGCGGCGAAGGCGCACCAGGATGATAAGATGAAAAACAGAGGATTATTGTGGAATTTGAGAACGGGGACGAGGACGTGCGATGTTTGAAGCAACTATTTGGCATCGTCCACTTCATCTGATGACCCTATCGCCCTGTTTGTTTCATTGATTCAGTCCATGGCGGAGTAGGGGATTCTGGACATGCCCCTCAAGGAGAACGTCACTTATTATTCAGTGTGAGTGCTACTGATCGGCAGCCCCTCTCATCTCGACTTCTGTTAATGTCTGGCTTTGCTGCCTTTCTAATTTAGGCTTCAATATACATGAATCACCCATTCATTTAAATTTGTAGGTACGGTTTCGCCTAGTTGGTCAAAACCATGGTGACCTACGTGCACGCAAAGCAGCTGAAGCACATCCTGGCCAGCCCATACCTTGGCATTCAGCTCGACGAGAGCACGGACAGGCAGCGGGGGAAGAATCTAATTGTCTACTTGACATTCCTGCGGGACGACAAGGTCGTTACAGAGTTCTACGCTCACCTCACAGTGGACAAATGCGACGCGGCTTCGTTGCAAGTCATCCTCCTCATGCATCTCGAGGCAACTGGCGTGGACCTCAAGAAGATCTGCGGCATCAACACGGATGGCGCAAGCGTCATGACGGGCACGTCGACCAGGCTGGTGGCACAGCTGCGGTCCTGCATCTTGCACCTAGTCTCTTGTCACTGTGTCGCACACAAGTTGGTGTTGTTTTATGTGGCGCCTGATTAGAAGCATGCTATACTTCGCTTTGTACATAGTGCCTTACTGACTACGTACGTGTGTGCCGTTTGTGCAGGGAAGCTCTTGCTGCCAAAGATGCGGCAGCCAACTTTCCCGACCTTGTCATTTTTGACAAGGTCATGAAGTCACATGCAAAGGTCCTCGGCAGGTCTATTGTTTTACATTCCCATTTCAAGCAGCTCCAGGATATCGGCTCTGGGACAAACCTGGAGATGCAAAGAAATCCACAACATCAGAGGGTTATCCCGAGGTGAGGCCATCCAGAATAGTTGAGGTATTCCCGGCCGCCATCATACCCTTGCAGGCGTACAACATGGTATTCCGCTTAAAGTTTCATTTCCTTCTCTACTTCCTTGCCGATGTCCTCAACGAGCTCAACCTCCTCAACTTGAAGTTTCAGTGCTGCCATGTAAATGTAACTACTGGTACTGCGGGTGTTCGGCTTTTAAATGACACTATTCTAACATCTTTGCACTCTGCTTCTCTTTTAGTTCGACGCCACACACGTTTGCCAGATGGCGGATAACACTAAGTTGACTCTATAAAGTCGCTACGTCAACTATGGCGAGGTCTTTGGTCACGGCAACACGGCCCTTGTGGACTTCATCAAGAAGCACTCCTCGTCGCATAACTAGGAGGTGACGATCGAGACGGCACCAGGCTCGTCCACATGCACACGCTGCACGAGAAGGCTCTCCCCAGCCAAATCACTGACGGGGACATGAAGTCGCTGATGACCATGGCAACTGTGTTCATGCTCGGGCTGCTGGACAACATTGACTCCCGCTTAGCAGATCTCAAAACTCTCAAATACAGCAAGCTGATCTAGCATGGAGCATATCCGCGGACCATCCAGAAGCGGGAGCAATGATTTCCTCTGTGGTTGACAGTTCTACGCAACCTATGCAAGCATGAACCCTCTGCTCCGGACACCCTGCCTAATGAACCCTCAACTGCAGCAAGCTGATTTGTGCCGCACCTATTGCGGCACAAAATCCCATTGCTTGGTCTTTGCTGCAAAATCCCATTGCTTTCCGCATGTATTGACTATGCAGTTGCAAGTATTTATCAATTGTGCTCTCTCCCTACTTTCCCCTCGTTCTTGTCTTACGACTACCCCACCCTAACTCTCGACATCAACTGGACAAAGGCTCAGAAGGAACTGACCCAGTTTACGACCATCATGTCAACACATGCTACGATCCCCTGACTGGCAGACTACCTACCCGAACTTAGTGCGTCCATGGATTGCTATAGTGGTGCTTCCTCTGCGCACTGTTGATTGCAAGAGGGGTTTCAGCCACCACGACGTAATAAAGAGCTGGCTCCGCGGGAACCTGTGTGACGCAAAAGTGTCAGATCTCTTGTCGATTTCTCTCCTCGAATACAACATGGAGTGGGACTCAATGGTGGAGTGGTGGCGGGCAGTGAAGATGCGGAGGCCAACAAAGGAGGTTGTCATGGTGCAAACAGCATGCCCGCAAAAGAGGAAGATGTATGAGGCGGCAAGAGCAGCCAAGAGAGCAGTAGCCAGACAAGTAGCAGCAATGGTTGAAGCAGAAGCGGCATCAGAGGAGGTTACAGGAGTTACCTTGGACGAGGAAGGCAAGAGGCAAGGCTACTGCAATTGACTTGGATTCTGAAATTGAAGAGGAGCAGGACAACCCCTTTGCCAGTGACAGCGAAGACGAGTGAGGTTATGTGACAATGCGATTCTATGCCCAGCCGTCTGCCAATGAAATGCTAGTCCATAAATTGCTACATGTTAGTGAGTAGATGCTGTCATGTCGTGAGGTCAAGTATCTACTAGGCTATAATAACTTCTGGCTTGAACTTCTGACT